TTTCCCTCCCACGTGCCCCTGGGGTGCCCCAATAAAAGCCGCCCGCGCCCCCTGCCTCTTCACTTTTCTCTTCTGCTCCTGGGGGGCGTGGCTTACCGCACCTACCCCCGCCTGTTTCCCATCTGTTCAGGGAAGGGTTCCTTAGAAATATGCTTTCCTTTGCACCCACCTGCCAGAGAATACAATTTGTATCCCCGTCCATATCTGCAAAAATGAGCTGTAGATGTCTGTGGCCGCAGGTGTGGAGACCCACGGCTATCCGCAAATGTGTAGGGGGTCTAAATCCAACATTTGTACAGGCATCCATATCTGCAAAAACAAGCTGCAGATACCCACAGATTTAAAGTGGATATCTGAGGATTTGCAGGGCTCTACCCATGTGCTATCCATCCAGTCACATTTCCTAGCTGCTCCGGGAGGGGATCCCAGGTAGAGATTCATATCCAGCTGTACCAAGCCACTTGTTCTGTCAAAAGTACCTAATGTGATTGTTCACTGAGCAGTTAGGCTGCATCTACATTGGTATGATCTTCCGCAAAAGCAACCGCTTATGCGACAAAACTTGCTGCCTGTCTACACTGGCCGCGAGTTCTTGCGCAAGAACACTGACATTCTAATGCAGGCATGTCCAAAGTCCGGCCCGCGGGCCAATTGCGGCCCGTGTTCCGGTTTAATACGGCCCCCGCTTCCTCCCCCTCTCCTGGCTCCCCGGCGCTCTTTTGAACTGGCGTGCCCAGCGCGCCGCTTCCAGCCGCGCCGCCGCCCATGGCCTCCGCGGTCCTAGAGCCTGCCCTGTAGGGCACGTCCGCAGCCCCGCTCCCCCGCTCAGCTGCGGGTTCACCCTGCCTCTGGGCCGCCGTGCCCTGCGCTTTCCGCCCGCCTCTGACCCGGCCCTCACGCATGTTCACTTCTTCAAATCTGGCCCTCTTTGAAAAAAGTTTGGACACCCCTGGTGTAGACACAGCCTAGCCATGTACACATGATACGCCAGCCTTTCCCCAAAACCATCTCCAAGCTAAATAGTGCTTTCCATTCATGTTTTAAACAAATGCTGTCTTGTTTGTCATCTTTCACTCAGAAGATCTCTGTATGCAGACAAGATCTGAGATTTAGAGACACTGGCAGAGAGGTTACAAGCGGTTCTAAGAAGTTAGGTGAGGCTTAAGTATACTTAAGTTTACCCCATTGTCCTACTCTCAAGTATTCTTTGTAACCAGAACAGACAGCAGGTGTTCCTGAGGGTATCCCTGTGGAATCTCTGGAGTTAGGAGCAGAGAATTATTTGTGGTGTGGTGCATTTCGTCTGGCTATTGATTCTTTGACTTTGTTCCCTGTATAGTGTCTGCATAGCTGAGTTGTAGGTATCTGAGTAAGCAGCTGACATGGATCTGTTGCTTGGTGCCATGGTAAAGGTCATGAGGTTCCAATCCTTGAAGCTTTGATCAGCCTAGTTTAAAGTCTGAGTGGTTAATTGCTCCTTGGTGGTGTGGGGCAGAGTAGGGAGACTAGGTCACTTACTAAGCAAACTCAAGAGCCCTGAAAAAAGGGCAGCTAATATGAGAGTTTTAGAGAAAGTTGAGAGAAAGATCGTGAGAGGTTTTCCTACCAGGTTTGTTTCTATATGTCATTTCAAGATGGCCAGCAATGAACAGTGATGGTGAGGTGCAACAGATGTGCCTTTTTTTTTACTGCCTGAAATGACTTCCTGTTCATGAAATGTAAATTGGTGGCCATGCTGCAAGGAGGGGCAAACAGAGATGGGGGAAAGCCAATTGGTGCAGAGATGCACATAAATCGGATGGAGACTTCTCTTAGAGGAGTGATAGAAATGTAGCCGTGTTAGTCTGGGGTAGTTGAAGCAAAATGCAGGACAATGTAGCACTTTAAAGACTAACAAGATGGTTTATTAGATGATGAGCTTTCGTGGGCCAGACCCACTTCCTCAGATCAAATAGTGGAAGAAAGTAGTCACAACCATATATAC